CTGGTTATGTTGCTGTCAGTAAAGATCTTGACTCCAGAGCTCAGTGCATGGCCATCGTTGCAAGCATAAAGTAACTCCAAAGGTCATGGTGTGATTGGTCTGGCAAGGACAAGATTTCCTGCTGAGGCACTCATCCACGCCTAGGGAGTCATGCAGAACTGGCGGAACCAAACCTGGCCAGATGCTGGGTGGGGACTCAGAAGAACTGGAATCTTGGCTCCCATTCCAGGCTCTGGAAAGGAGTGTCCACTAGTGGGCACAGACTCGTCTGCATGCTCATAACCAAACTTGGCTCCCTCAGCCTTATCCACACACACACACACCACTTGTCCCTGTCCCAGTACTGTCTCTTCCCATCCGTGGCTCTTGCCCCCATCCCAATCTCAGGTGTCTCATCCCAGTCCCGGTCTCCTTTTCTAGCCAGTGCCAGTCTCCCCCTGCACCCAATCCTCCCCTCCCAGTCCTAGTCTCCTTTCCCAGCCAGTCCCAGTTCCCCAGCATCTCAGCTCCTCATTCCATTTGTCTCTCTCCTCCTCTCTTAGTTTCTTGCTGTGCCCACTGCCAGCCCCCCAACATTCCCCACTCTCACTGAGTCCCAGTTTCAGTGCCCCTCCCCAGATACTTAGTCCAATCTCATTGTTGTTCCCCTAACCTAGCTCCTTGACCCAGTCCCATTTTCCCCCTACACCCTGTTGCCTGGACAGATCCATCTCCCCACCCTACTTCCACACACTGGTTTCCAGGCCCAGTTCCATCCCACCACTCACACCTGCTTGGTTACCCTCTATTGTTAGCATGCTAGCTCGATGGAAGTGTAGACGTACCCTTAGTCACTGCAACATGCTCACCAGTCAGTAGAGTACACTGATGTGCCATTCCCCTCTGGTGTTGTCTGGGCTAGTGATCTGCTAGGTCACTCCAATCCTTGACTCTGGGAGCCAGCCTGACCCTGCTCTGCTGTGAGAACCCCACTCCTGGGCTGTTCACGCACAGCCTCTGGCATGTAAGCTGCTCCCAGCTACTTGCAAGCAAATGACAGTAGCCAATATCTCTGGTCCCAGACACAACCCTAGGAACCTCCGTCTTGCAGTGTCCAGTTATGCCCGCTGGAGGCTGCCAGCTTATATGAGTTCACCAATTTAACAAAGAAATTGATATGTACCAGGCTTGTTATCCCCAGGGGAGTCTCTGACACAGAAAACCAAACGCACTGCTCCAGGTAGAACAAACAAACAGATTTATTAGTTATAAAGTTAGATTTTAAGTGATTATAAGTCAAAGCAGAACACGTCAGATTTGGTCAAATGAAATAAAAGCAAAACGCATTCTAAGCTGATCTTAACACTTTTGATGACCTTAAAACTGAGATGCTTCTCACCGCAGGCTGGCTGGTTCCTTTTCAGTCAGGCTCGCACCTTTAATCAGCGTTTCAGTCACTGGATGGTGGTGGTGTCTGTAGATGTAGGTGGAAGAGAGAGAGAGAGCCTGGCAAAATGTCTCTCCCTTTTATCATGGGATTTCTTTCCTCTTGGCTTTGCCCCCCCCTTCAGAGTCAGGTGAGCATTACCTCATCGCAGTCCCAAACTGACCAAATGAAGGGGGGGTGACTCCCTTGAGGCACTAAGAGATTCTTTTCTTGCTGCCAAAGCCAGTGTCCATTGTTCCTGTGAGGCTGGGCGGAGTTTGTCCCATCCATGCCCTGATGAGGTGTGAACTGCCTCTCTGTTTTTGGAGAGTTTTTACATCGGTTTGCTTTAAGCCAAGGATACATTTTCGGGCTCATAACTATATGCATGAAATTATAACCTATAACCTTACTATAACATCACTATAATGATTACTATAACATCACTATAACAACCATGCTCAGTACATTATGAGCCTTCCAAAGACACCCAACATGACAAACTTTGCATCGGATACCACACAATCATTTTATAAAGATGAACATGGGGCTGTAAGGAGTTCCCCTGAGGTACAAAGCACCACAAATGATACACAACTTTTCTGGCAAGTGCAAGAGCTGATCCCAATGGCATTAGAGCAACACCCATAGCTCTCACCCCATTACAGAGTTCCCGCTCACTTAGCTGGGCTCCGGAGCTCATACTCACTGACGCACTTCACTGTTGGATCAGTGAAGTGTTGCTCCCCAGAGCTAGATGCAAACCCGCGTTTGCAGGTGCAGTGGTAGCCCCCAGGGATGTTTTCACATTTTGCAAAAGTAGGACAAGTAGATGAATTCTGACACCAGTCAACTGTGAAAGGAAGAAGAAACCACGTCATTGAAAGAGCAATGGATAATGCTTTGCACCTTTTGCTTGACTTCTTCAGTGTGGTTCACATTCATTCATTAACCTTGTGAATAATGCAGCAAGGGAGAAAGAGTGGACCTAGCAGAGTAGGCGGCTGGGGTGGGAGGACCAAGACAGCTGGCTGACTCTTCTGAAGACATCAGGTAACGGATAAAGAAAAGGCCTCCATCCCTCTCCCCTGACACCAGGAAAAACAGGAGAAAGTTTGAAGAGAAGGTGTGACACCCTCTACTCCATGTTCACCACTTTTATATGCTTATGATCTATTTTGTACAAAGTATGCCCTGTGAGGTATCATTTGGAAACTCATAATGTGATGAATATTATTATCCTGTTGAAATTTCTCTAACAAACACTGCGTGTGAAATTATGGCATTTTGCTGTATGATTATAACTAAAAGATGTTGTCATTCTTGGGTGCTACTCATAAGCCAGCTCCTTAGAGACAAAGACACACTGGAATGCGAGCAACATGCTAAAGAGTCATACTCTAGTTAATCGGAGATTCTCCAACTGGGGAGTTCTAAACAGGAAATTTACAAATCAGCTGAAAGACAGTCTGGCACTCACATACTGCCTCCCCACATGACCCAGCAAGGGTATTTTAATCAGAAAACAATTCAGGTGTAAGGAGGGGGACAAAAATACCTGTACCCACCTCTCCTGTCTACATTATCTCTCCCTGTTTATAACATCAATGAATCCTTGAGAAACACTGAACTAAGGAACAGGAGTACTTGTGGCACCTTAGAGCTTAACGAATTTATTAGAGCATAAGCTTTCGTGGGCTACAGCCCACTTCTTCGGATGCATATAGAGTGGAACATATATTGAGGAGATATATATACACACATACAGAGAGCATGAACAGGTGGGAGTTGTCTTACCAACTCTGAGAGGCCAATTAAGTGAAAAAAAAAACTTTTGAAGTGATAATCAAGATAGCCCAGTAGAGACAGTTTGATAAGAAGTGTGAGAATACTTACAAGAGGAGTGGTCCCAGAAGGAAAGGAAATCCAGCCTCTGAACTGCAGAATCTGGTGTGGTGAGAAGGATGTTGGATTCAAATCTTATTTAGTTTGGTAACATTTAGAAATTAGCTTGAGGTTTTATCTTTTTATTTCTTTTGTAACCAATTCTCACTTTTGTGCCTTAACACTTAAAATCTCTCTATGTCTCTCTCTCTCGTTAATAAACATGTTTTATCTAAACAAATGTGCTTGGGAAACCTCTACTTGAGATAACAAAGGCTGGGGCATGAACATTACCTTTTGTTGGAATGTCAGACTATCAATGAGCTTATACTATCTAGGGGTCTACTGAGCAATATAAGATGCACATTTCTGGGGAGCCAAGGCTGCAAATGGAGATATATGGCTGTTTCCCTGTATCTATCCATGGATGGCTGGGACAGCATTCATGAAAACATCTGGGAGTGATTTTGCAGGCTAGTATCTCTGCATGAGCAGGCCAGGAGTGGCTGGTCTGACAGTAAAGTAGCCTAAAAGGAACCCGAGGCTAGAGAGTTAAGGGGACACAGCAGTTCAGGTTGCACCTTGGGGAATTTCACAGTAGGAATGAAGGATGGGCTTTGAGGGAAGGGAGGTTCTGATCCTGTGGACAGGCGACAATGAGTTTTAGTCCAGAAACAGACTAATCCCCTGCTAGGGTCGCCATTTTGCCTTAAAATCCATGTCCACCACCAGCAGCAGCAAGAAATAATTTTGAAGGGTTCTGGTTATGTTGCTGTCAGTAAAGATCTTGACTCCAGAGCTCAATGCATGGCCATCGTTGCAAACATAAAAGTAACTCCAAAGGTCATGGTGTGAGTGGCCTGGCAAGGGCAAGATGTCCTGCTGGGACACTCGTCCACGCCTAGGGAGTCATGCAGAACTGACAAAACCAAGCCTGGCCAGGCGCTTGGTGGGGACTCAGAAGAGCTGGAGTCTTGGCTCCCATTCCAGGCTCTGGAGGGGAGTGTCCACTAGTGGGTACAGACTCTTCTGCATGCTCATACCCAAGCTTGGCTCCTTCAGCCACAAATCCCCCCGCACATATCCCTGTCCCAGTAATGTATCTTCCCATCCCCGGCTCTTATCCCCGTTACACTCTGAATGCCTCAGGTGTCTCATCCCAGTCCTGGTCTCCTTTCCCAGCCAGTCCCAGTTCCCCGGCATCTCGGCTCCTCATTCCATTTATCTCTCTCTTCCGCTCTTAATTTCCAGCTGTTCCGTCTGCCACACTTCCCCCCACAACATTCCCCAGTCCCACTGAGTCCCAGTCCCAGTGTCCCTCCCCAGATACTTAGTCCAATCTCATTGTTGTTCCCCCAGACCAGCTCCTTGACCCAGTCTCTTTATCTGGCCAGTCCCATCTTCTCCCTGCACCCTGTTGCCTGGACAGATCTGTCTCCCCACCCTACTTCCACACACTGGTTTCCAGGCCCAGTTCCATCCTACCACTCGCACCTGCTTGGCTACCCTCTATTGTAGCATGCTAGCTCGATGGAAGTGTAGCCGTACCCTTAATCACTGCAGCATGCTCACTGGTCAGTAGAGTACACTGATCCATAATTTTTCTGGCAAGTACAAGAGCTGGTCCCAATGGCATTAGAGCAACCTCCATTACAGTCGACCCATTACAGAGCTCCCATTCATTTAGCTGGGCTCCAGAGCGGATACTTACCAATACACTTCACTGTTGGATCAGTGAAGTGTTGCTCCCCAGAAGTAGATGCAAACCCGTGATTGCAGGTGCAGTGGTAGCCCCCAGGAACGTTTTCACATTTTGCAAAACTAGGACAAGTAGACGAATTCTGGCATCTGTCAACTGTGAAAAGAAGGAGGAACAATGTGGTTTAAAGAGAGCAATGGATAACCCTTTGCACCTTTTTTTGACTTCTTCTATGTGGCTCACATTCATTCATTAATCTTGTTAACAATGCAGCGAGGGAGAAAGTGTGGACCTGGTAGAGCAGGTGGCAGGACCAAGTCATCTGGCCTCTCTTCTCGAGACAGTAGGCAAAGGATCAAGAAAAGGCCTCCATCCCTCTCCCCTGAAGCCAGGGAAACAGGAGAAGGTTGGAAGGGTAGCTGTGACACCCTGTAGCCTATATTCACAACTGTTATATGGCTATGACCAGTTTCCACAAAGTATTCCCTGTGAGATATCATTTGGAAACTCATAATCTGGTGAATATTATTATCCTGTTGAAATGTGTGTAACAAACTCTACATGTGAAATTATGAGATTTTGCTGTATGATTATTACTAAAATATTTTGTAACTACTGTGTAGTACTCATAAGCCAGTTCCTCAGAGACAGGGACACACTGCATGCCAGCAGCATGCTAAAAAAGTCATCCCCTGGTTAATTGGAGATTCACCAACTGGGAAGTTCTCAAAAGGAAATGTACAAATCAGTTGAAAGACAGTTTGGCACTCACATACTGTCTACCCACATAACCCAACAAGGATTGGGGTGCAAGAAGGGGGACAAAAATACCTGTACCCACCTCTCCTGTCTACATTTTCTCTCCCTGTTTATAACATCAATGAATCCTTGAGAAACACTGAACTAAGGGGAGTGGTCCCAGAAAGAAAGGAAATCCAGTCTCTGAACTGCAGCATCTGGTGTGGTGAGAAGGATGTTGGAGTCAAATCTTATTTAGTTTGGTAACATTTAGGAATTAGCTTGAGGTTTTATCTTTTTATTTCTTTTGTAACCAATTATCACTTTTGTGCCTTACCACTGTGACAAAGTTCCTCCTCTATCTTGGTGGGTCCCACACTTATTGGCAGATTTTCTTGCTCCTAGATTCACCATGTGGGTTGGGGAACAGCCCAGAGACCTTCCCCTCTGGAAGAACCCACAGTCCAAGTCAATTGGGAGGTTTGGGGGGAACCCAGGCCCGCCCTCTACTCCGGGTTCCAGCCCAGGGCCCTGTGGACTGCAGCTGTCTATAGTGCCTCCTGGAACAGCT